ATCACTGGGATTTGAACTCTAGACCTGCCACTTGGGGGTTGACAACCTATCCACTTCACTAGGTCGCCACACTCCTATTTTCTTCTTTATTAACAATCAATCTATAATATTACCTTATATCTTTTAGTCAGACCAACTTATAAACAGCTTATAGTTTATTGCTAATTCTAATTATAATTTAACTATTATTTTATTTTATACTAATGGTTCTGTTATTGAGCTTGGTACATTTCAATGCTCTATAGGCATAAGCTAGATTCAAGTTGATAACTCTACAACTATTTATTCATTTCAGACACAAGTTAAACTTTGGCTATACTCTTTTAAAACTAAAATCTTTACTATTTTTTCAGTAATCATTACTAGTCCCAAAAACTGTTCTGTTTATATTTTTATTAATTTACAATCTGTAATCTTCAAATATCATAGTATCCATTTATTAGTTTCTAAACTTTCTTATACTTATACTCTATATTTTTTTATTTGACAAACTCTTATTAACTTCATTAATTTATACAATATTCAGCTTATTTTTTATAAAATTACTACATATAAGATGATTTATTTAATAATCTTGCTAACCAACTTGCTTATAGTTATCAAATACTATTTTTTAAGTAACAATTCTTACAACTCTGTATATATTTCATTTATTAATTAATATTTTATTAAGATTCCTATTTGATGCTTTATTCATATTATTTGCTAAACTCATATTATAACACTTTGAACATTTCAATATTATTTTCAACAATGGTTTATTATTGCATCCAATATTAATTAGAAAACCACTTGGCTTTATATTAATAATAATTAAATTTTACTTATAGCTTTTATTTCTTTATTTTAAAAACCTTTTGTATTAAAATCCTTTTGAATGAACTACCTGTTCCTCATATTTTTCACAAATACAACTCTTCTTATTCTTTTCTCTATCATTAATACAATCAAACTAGTTCTTCATTACATTGAATTCTTTGTTCTTCTACTCAAACAATTTATCACTTAATTTCTAATTCTTTTAACTGTATTTTAAATGCTACTGTTCTTAATATAATCACTAATTCTGTTTCAAATTTATATCAAGAAATTCTTATACTTAACAGTTTTAAACTGTATAATTCTTCTTATATACCATCTCTTATTTCTACTTTATCTAGCTTAGTTTCTATTGATCTTATTTCTATTATTCATAATACTTCTATTTCTTATTATATAACTATCAATCTTTTTATTAAATTTTTTCTTTATTTAAATTAACAAATATACTGTATAAACAAATATAGATCCTATATTGTATTTCACATTCAATACTGTCTTCAATTACATCTTCTATAAACTTAACTCATAATTCTCTTTTTAGTTTATCATTACTTCCTATCTCAATACTACAAATTATTATTAAAATTGATTTTTAGACTATTTAATAGATTAAATATTATACTCCTCTCTCATATATTATTACTAACATTCAAATCTAGATGAGCCTTGACCACTCTTGTAGGTTTAGGTTGCAAGTTATATGTCTAAGTCTTTATTCTTTATATGTAATTTAAAAACAAACTTTTCTTTATAAAAATTTCAATTGAATTTCAATAAAGTTAAAGGCATGACCTTACCATTAATATTTAAAAATAAAAAAATAAAAAAAAACCTTTACCTTTAACACCAAAAAAAAAATAAAAAAATAAAAAAAAAACCAATTAACAATAATAATAAAAATAATATTTTTTTAATTAAATAACTATCTTTTGCAAATAAGTAATAAAAAGGAACCTCACCGTTAATATTTAAAAAAAAAAAAAAAGTAATAAAAAGAAAAAACCTGTAAATCATTTCACTCATTGAGTAAGATGATTTACAGATTTTTCCCTTTTCGTCACTCAAATAGTAATCATACAAGATTCTGTAATACTACTAGAAATTGGAACCGCCTAAAAATTAATCGTTTAACCGTTTAATTTGGCTGGCATTAAAATAATTTCGACCCACAACCAACATAATTCTGCTCGGAACTATGGAGCAATTTTTAAACGGTTAAATGGTTCCAATCAAAATTTTGTTTTCTAAGCAAAAGTATGATCTTTTTTTTTTGATTCTTTTGTATGGTGAATCTTGACCTATTCTAAAGCTATGAATGGCTTTTGCGACGACTTTCACTAGTGAACGTTGTGTACTTTAAAGTGTATAAACCCGGCAATTGATTTGCATTAGCTAATCAGACGAATTTCCTCCTGCTAATTGGATATCGATACCAAAATTTATCAAATTAAGCGCATATCAAGATTATCAATTTCCAGATCGTTTGCCTGGAGTTTTTTTTTAGTACAATCACTTTTTAGATATACAATAATGTTTCGCTTTGCTAGCCGTTTCAATTATACCATCTTTAAAAAAATCAATTATAGAAATGCTTCAACAATTTCTAATCCTACAATTGCCAACATAGAAACACAGTGGCAAGCCTTATCAGAAACTGATAAATCCGGCCTTATAAAGAAACTTGAGGAATTACAAAAGCAGGACTGGAATAAGCTTTCTATTGATGATAAAAGAGCAGGTCAATGTCTTAAAAAAAACTTTATATTTATTTACATAAAATTATTTTTATAAATTTTTTATTAATCAAAAGTTAACACCTTCAGCCTATTATATTTCGTTTGGACCTCATGGTCCAAGAGAACCGCTTACTGGACCGGGTCATACGGGTAAGGTATTTATCGGAATTGGCGGTGTTCTCGCAGCGTCTTTAGCATTATTTTATGTTACCAAAGTATTAGGTATGAACACATTATTCAGCATTCTAAGTGGTTATATTCTATAAATATAATATAAATATTTTTTTGGTGTATAAAGTCCCTGAACAGCCAAAGACTTTAACTAAAGAATGGCAAGAAGCTACTAACGAAAAAATGCGTCGTCAGAAAGCAGATCCAATAACTGGTATATCATCCGAAGGATATAAAGGAAAAGGTTATGTTGAATAGTAAATCATGTTTCAGATTATATCTTGTATTCTTGGTAAGATATTATTTATCATAAAAGCTTGAGATAGTTAGCAAGTAACAAGCAGAATATATCAATATTTGTAATACTGAATCGAAGAAAATTATTGAAATACATTTTGAAAAGGCCCTTATCGATCCATACGGAGCGGGCATTGTACAAAATTATACAAAATACAATTTCCATTACAAGCAACCTTTTGTTTACAACGAGTTTCCAATATCGATAATATATATGTATACGCTATCAATAATTTTATAGTGTTAATCTGCGCCAACCTTTGGGCAATCTTTTCGAATATGTCCTTCCTAAATAATAAATTATAAGTTATTACGAACAATGATGATAATTAACGTATTTCAATTAATACCTCTTGACAGTTATAACAAACTTTAGAGCCTTGAGGAGAATCGCAGTCCCTACTAAGATGACCAGATCGACCACAATTGTAGCATTTCTGAGCCTTGACACAGTCACTGAAAGAATAAAAATATTAAATAAACATTATTTAAAAACAAAGTCGTAATTATAAATTAAGAATACCGCTGAAGATGTCCATGTCCTATTATTAAACCGGTTAAAAGCATTAAAAAATGTTAGATGTAAATTAGTATTAAATAATCGTCAAAAATTGGAAGTCATTACTACCGCCACAGCCATAACAAATTTTAGATGTGAAGCTAGAATTATAATCATCATTCGAATTACAATTGCGTGCAATATGTCCGGTCTGGTATAAAATGGTTAAGATTAAGAAGTGCTTGATGTAATATTGATAAAAACGAGGTGACTTCTTCGAATACCTTTCTACACTGTAAATAAATAAATATTATGTATTTAGTTATTATAAATTCATAAGAGAAAATGGATAAAACTAAAGATGCTGGTGAAATTAGTGTTCGATTGGTGAAATTAATTTACCAGCATCTCTACTTGCCTTATAACAGACTGAACTTGAACTGTTCCTTGACCCATAGTCATCGTAATAATTGTCATTCATTTCACAATTCCGTGCAATATGTCCTGCCTGTATTAAATTTTTTCATTTATATATGATAAATATTACGGTAATAGATTTTTATCAGATAACAAATATTCATATCTAGTTATAAATTAGTTCATACCTGACCACACTATAAATAATAAATTAAAAATCATGGATCATGATCATAATAATTTTATTAAAATGGCAATTTAATAGTATCACTCACCTTATAGCATTCAGCATTCGTGCAATTACGTGCGATATGGCCAGACTATAAAATTTTGAATAATTATTTATAGTCATTTATCTAAACATTCCCATATTTATTACACTACCTTTCCGCACTAGTGAAATAATAATAATTTAATATATAATGGAATAGTGTAAAATCAAAAATGACAATCATTTACATGCCTTGAAACATTCATCGCGCGAACGATAATCATCCTCAAATGTGTCATTATTACAATTACTAGCTATATGACCCGGCTAATAAATAATGAGAATTGACCGTCCCATGAATAAATAAATAAAATTAAGCTAACAATATACTTGCAAGTTGTACATACTTTATTACACTAATAAAAAAAAAAAAAAAAAAGTTAAAATTGATGTGTCAATAAAATGTAAATGAATGACATGGCACTTTATTAGATTATGCACCTTGAAGCATTTCGATCCAGAATTACTTGTCGGATAATCTGAATAACAATCACGACTCTATAAAAAAAAGTGTTATTCATTGTCGTAGAATTGACCAAACTTTAATTGTCCAAGTACGAGCAATCGTCACATACAATGTGACCTGAATCTCCACATTTGTAACATGTTTTGTCTTTAGGTGTTTCTGTACAATCTCGACTAAAGTTGTTTAAAACATATTAGTATAAACTTTCTTGATTTGTAAAAGCCATGCTGATCCATACCTAATATGTCCTTCTTTCCTATTTAGTTATATTCGCGTCGAGTTTTTAATGAATTAAAGTGGTCAAAATAACAAGCTAATATATAAACGAAAACGGAAAGCTTTCCCGAACGTACTGGCAATTATAACTAAGGATATGAAGGAACTCGTATAAGCCGAGAGCGTTATATTCTTAAGTTGTTCAAGGTTTAGGGATAAGTAACTTACCAGACAGCGCTAAGAGAACAATCACGAGCCAAATGTCCGGCTAATAATTTATAATGGATTTAGAAGAGAAAAATAAGAAAAATAATATAATAGGAAGTTGCTTACATTCACCACACTTGTAACAGCCACCACGACCTCGATTTGACATTTTTTTTTTTTTTTAGAAATATACTTTCGGATTAGAGGAGGTTCATTTCTAATTTATATGTGACAAATCAACTTTAAGATACTTATATACGATAATCAAAAGCAACCCCGATTCGGATCAACGATGATCGAAGGGTTTTTTTTATTTCAATTGATGTAGAATATGGTACGATCGGCCAATTAGATCACAAGATCTTGAGTAACATAAATCATAAATCATATCGATATTGCTATTGAAAAGGATTAAAAAGGATTGAATACGTAGAAGTTTCTTTTAACTGAGATATATCAAGTCATTATGTATCCTAAGTTATCTGTTTAGACATTGAACGTTCTAAGTTTTAGATGTCACTATACTTTGATATTAATGATGAATAGGATACATGCTGGTTCTATCTATATTACTGTATTATGTACTCAGTAAATTATTAATTTAGAGAATCACACGCATATTTTGAGGAAACAGGAAACATGGGTATGTCAATTATTAATAATAAAACCGAATTTTTTATTCTTACAGATAACTTGTTTGAAAAGATCGATATAACCAATTGTTATTTGCGCTTATATAAAAACATGTGTTAAGATATATCATTTATACAGTTATAAGAATTCACGTTTATAATTAACAGTATATTACCATATTTCATGTGATTTTTAAATATCAGAATATGTATTATTATTACTACTTTTATTTTTTTTTCACATCTTTTTAATAAATTTTATAAATCAAATTGGGTCCCGTCGATTTATGTGTAAGTAGTTAAAATTCTATACGTATCGAATCAGATCCCTGACGTACAATTTTAGTTACAATTATTCTTAACCAATGGAAACTGTGAAGAAAGAGAAATTAATAATAGTTTGACCGTTTACTACTGTACTATTCTACAAAAAAAAAAAAGCGCAGGTTATATAATAATACTCGGCAACTATGAATAATATTAACCAAACGAAAAGCTCAAGAGTACCAGAGGGTAATTATTATTTTTTACGCGTATTACGTCCTTTACTATAGGCTTACACGCGTTTTTCATATTAATTAGAGTTAAGAGTTCTATTTGGTGAAGTAAACGTAGGAAAATACTGTAAAAGGCATAGTGTTCCACCAGAAGTAAGCGTCTAGTAGCCACAAGATACATAAGTTACTCTTCTAGCTTATCAACTGTTAAATAGGGTTTCCAAAAGCTTCGCTGCCAAGTCATTGAGCGAAACAAAGTTTTGCCAAAAAATGGTCTTGATATTCTTAATGAGTTGAAGGCACGTGATTCGCGCCGATTATCAATAGGATACGCGAGGTAAAAATTATATCATATAAACTTAGTAACTATAAGTAATGTAAGGTTTAATTAATCTAAAATTTTCGCAGCATAGATGAATTATTAGGCGGTGGATTACAACCTGGTGATATTACGGAGATTAGCGGAGAATCTACTGCTGGAAAAACCAGGGTTAGACTTTTTTTTCAATCGTATTTAATTTATTAATGATTATGAGAAATTAATTTATCGTAAATAGCTTTGTTACTCCGCACTACTGTCAATAACATGTTTGAATAAAGAAAATACTGCCCTGTTCATTGACACAAAGAATGGGTCATGCGCTAATTATATTCGAACATTATTTTTGGAGAGCGATCAATTCGCAGATGCAAGAGAACAAGGAACAGTAAGAAATCAATTCCAACTATTTCAATTTTTTAAATTTCTTTAATTAGCAACTAAACATGTTTTTTTATTCATCAAACAGGATGTTGATAGTATATCTGATAGAATTCATATTCAGAGAGGTTGCATATTTGAGGATGATCTATTGAATGTGATCGAAGATCTAAATCTACAATTTCAACAAAAGGTTAATTATTTCTTTTTCATCAATGTACTTTGGCTTGGAATTAATAAGATTTCTTATTATAGGAGATCAATAATTTTTATTTGAACTTAAAGCTAATAGTAATTGATTCGATCACTTCGGTATTCTCACCACTTCTCGGGTATAACATGGATCACTATCGTAAGGGAAAAATATTTGCTTTAGTGCTTTTTTTTAATATTTTAATTGTTTTTAATTCTTGAAATTTAAGCATACTCTAGGTTAGCGATTTTAATACGAACACTTAGAAATATAGCAAAAGAACATAATATAGCGATATTGGTACACTTGGTTTGTCTTTTTAAACGACAGTTATTTTTAATGGTTTTGGTTCTTACAATTTTATATTATAGATTACCAATTCAGTTCAAAATGCTCGTTCATATGACCATAAATCGGTTTTTTCAATAAACAAAAAACCAGCTCTCGGCCAAACATGGACATACCTTACTGACACAACTTTATTTCTTTCTTTGGGTGACGGTTCAGATCAGCGAGTGTATATTAATCGTCAAGGATATGAAATTCTAGGAGTACAAAGAATATGCGAGGTTCTTCGCTCACGGAAAAATTTGGTAGATTTAATTATTTGATTTATGATTGCGTTAAAAAACGATGGATAATACTAAATTATTACTGTAATAGGTAATCGGACGGTACTGTGTTTTCTATATGGTAGGGAATTAATCTTTATCCTCCAATTATTATTCCATGCAAGGATCTGTTTAATTTCTATTATCCTGCCTGATATTTAAGGGTTATACCGAGTTCTTCTCCGAGTCAGCTGCTATTTAAGATCAATTCAAGTTTGAACATGGATAGTAATGAATAATTTGTAAATGAAATAAAACTTTTTCACTATAAAAAATATTTAAATAGGATAAACGCAATGGTACATTAAATTTCACACCTTCAAAATTATTTTATTAACTTGGAGATACATAATGTTAAATTTATTAGTTAATGATAGCGATAGTCAATAATTTTTTCCCTAAGTGCAAGTCAACAATATAAATTTTTATTAATTAAATTTGAGAATCTATTCGTACACTGGTGTATGAAACTAGCAGTGTTGTCGCGGGACAGTTGTGGACATGAGTTTGGACACTTTTGGACATTTTTGGACAAATAAATAAATTAAATTTGCTCAAAATTTTATTAAGCTAACTTATTTTAATTTTCTAAATAAAAATATTCAGCACTATAAAAAATATATAATCATATATTTTTTTAATATATTAATTTTTAAAGCTTGTATATGCTGTGGACATTCTTGGACGTTGGACATGGTCAAAAAAAATCTTGGACATAGTAGACGTGACAACATTGGAAACTAGTATGAAATACAGATATATATCAATCAGCCGTGATGTCGTGCAGATCATATGGGCTAGGTGTTGGGAAAAGGAAACACCAAAGGAAAACTAGACTTTGATTATATAAATTTTATATGATCGAAGTCTTGGCGTTACCCGTATTAAATGTTTACATATTACTAAATAAATTCAATATCTAACAGATAATGGATCCAAACTGAGTAACCTATTTGACCCGTTGTTATATAAAAGAATTTATCAATGCACCTAAAGCTTAAGTAGTTTAAATCACCCTTTAATGATGCATCATTTTTGAACCCTTGACTAGAAGTATAATTATAAAAATTTTAATATGTATTTAATTAAATATGTATAGTATTTAGACATTTAGTCAAATTTAGACATTTTGACAAAAATAATGCTATGTCGAAATAGATTTAGACACTTTATTGTCTGAATATTTGACTAAATAGTATATTTCAACTAACAACACTAACCACGATCCCTTAATATCAATCCTTCAATTTAGACCTCTTTCTATGTTTTTTTTCATGGTCTCTAATCTCTTGATCACGTTCCGCTTTTCTTTTTTGACGTTCATCTACTTCTTTCCTTTTTTGACGTTCATCTACTTCTTTCCTTTTTTGACGTTCATCTACTTCTTTCCTTTTTTGACGTTCATCTACTTCTTTCCTTTTTTGACGTTCTTCAACTTCTTTTCTTTTTTGACGTTCTTCTACTTCTTTCCTTTTTTGACGTTCTTCTACTTCTTTCCTTTTTTGACGTTCTTCTATTTCTTTCTCTCTTTGTGTAGCACGTTCAAGCTTTTTTTGTGCCTGTAATTCACGATCAAAAGAAGCACCTTCCACATAATTATTTGATTTAATACCTAAGGCTTTCATCATCTTTTCATTTTCAACAGCCTTTGCCTGGCTAAGTTGATGTACTTGATGTTCTTGTATGCTACATTGTTAAAACAAATTAGTAAAATTCAACGAATTCAACGAAAATATGACAATAAGAAAAGGATTTTTCTAGTAAATTAAATTTATTACCTTTTGTCATCTTTAATAACATCGACCGCCGAAAGCAATGCATTACGAAAAGCATTTACTCGTCCTTCAATTTCTTCTTCAGTTTGTCTATGTTAGAGAAATGATAAAGGTATCGGTCAATAATTAAGCAGCATAAACGATGTTTTAAAAATAGATTTTAGGTTCCGACATACCCATCCTCTTCAAGTTGCTGTCGTAAATCAATACACTTAATTTCAATTTGTCTCTTCTTCTCATGCTTTAAAATATCTTTATTCGGCTTACGGTTCAAGAGTGAGGAGGATTTGGATTTGATCTCATCTAATGACTCATATTGAACATTGTCTTTACGTGTCTTGATATATGAAAGATTACGAACGACATAACCGTTCGTTCCAGATCCACGAGGTGTGGAAAGACCTACGTTACCGTACATTATTTATTTTTTTTTAGAAAAGTGTATATTATATCTTTTAAATCAACTTCAATGTGGGAATTAAATAGCTGAATTACAGAATTAAACATAAATTGATATAGTTTTCATTTACTCTGATTCACATGATGATCACCCGTGATAATTAACCAGACAAATTGAGTTTGGTCTTAACCGGGTTAAACCGGTTACATCCGATTATTATTGTTATTATTATAACCAGTTATACGTATTAGTGGTGAATCCTCATTTCACTATAGCGATAGTAATTCACGAAAAAAGTTTTTCCAAGATATTTAGTTCGTTAAAAGTTAAGCCTGAGTTTGGGTGGATGAAATATGCAATGTGGCATATATGTCGGTGTTCATATTCTTCGCGTATCATATATGTATACATGTTCTGCTATTCTTATTATAACCAATTAAGATCATATGGGCTGATTTTTGAAATGTTGCATTTTTTAATCTTGAATAATTTTTGATCCACCGGTCCGTTTTAAATAGAACAACTACCAAAATGTTCGTCTCAATAAGACGGACATTTTTGTGGTAGTTCCATTTAAAACGGACTGGTGGATCAAAATTTATTCAAGATTAAAAAATGCAACATTCCAAAAATCAGCCCATATGTTAGTACAACCGATTACAGTTGTCTTCATTGTTTTTGGGACATTTGGTAAAAAAATTGACCGACTATATATAATTTAATTATAAAATTTTTCAATAAAAATCAAATCGAATAGTAAAAAGGTTATTTACCATCTTTGAATAATGGCTATGTAATAAATATGTTCTGTAATGATTTTAACGAATTAGTTTCAATGAATAATTTAATTTTGATGACAATTTATTGTATTAAAGAAATAAATTTTTAAGAAGGAACTTAAATCAAGTTATATTTATTTAATCGACACTGATAGCACCTGAAGAAATTAAGTAATCTTCAAGCCCTAAATCAACCATCATTAGACCTAGGGATGTATTACATAAATTACTTTGTTACATTTCATGTAAATTACATTGTAACTTATTGTTGGTGCATTATCATGTGATAATTTTACCGACATTACAAAGGTTCAGCCAGCACTAATAGATATCCATCATTATGTTCGAAACTGTAATTTTTATCTATTTTTAGTGCCAGCGTTTTTTTATAATAAGAATGAAAAAAATAGCATTATTACTTTCGAGGTTCAACTGTAATTTCATGTCACCTCCATAAATCAGTAGAGTTGGTATATTTTGTTGGTATCGATTATAATAACCATAATTATGAGAATAAAGCATAAATATACACATACTCATGAATCTTTAAACAAATGCATTATTACCAAACTTCTTTACCAGCGTCAGTTACTTCTCTTGAAAAATCATGTTTCGATATTTGAATTGCTTTACCAAATTTAGTTCGTAAAGTTTCAGACTTCATTTCAGCTATTTTTTTCTGTTTTTATAATAAAAAAACTAGTTTATTTCATAATATTATCATATCATAATTAAAACTTTACCTATATCATATGATCATGTGAATTTTTTTGCCATGATATTTTTTGCATGAGATTACGTAATCAGTTTTGCAAAACATCACAGAAAAAACTTCACATGGTCATATTAACTATCCAATAACATCATTATTCGGCATACGTACGACAAAAAAAAATTGCCTGTTATTTTTTGTCATCTGCCGAATAATGTATACATATACGTTCATCCTTTTTGTCTTCCAATTCATCTAATTCATCTAATGTTGTATTATTCAAATAATTATCTGTTTTTCTATGATAACTTGGTTTATGGTTTCTAGTATTTCTTTTGTTAGACCTTCTTTGAAGAAAGAATTTCTTGAAAATAATGAATATTGTTCTTATATTATTGAATCAAAATGAATAAATTGTGATATATTAATTTGTATAATAAAATTAATTATAAAAATATATCATTCTATATTAGCATTTGAATCATCTACTGTTTTTAAGATAAAAATTTTATTAAATTTCTCAAAATAGTGTGATTTTCAAGTTATATCTAATCTAGAAATCCATTATTCAAAGAGACAACTTTTATAATTATTTGAATTAAAATCTAAATCAAACCAAAATAAAGTCATCTTAAATCTTCATAAAATCAGTACAAATTCTAAATTTTAAGATTACTAGCAGTATATATATGCACTAAAGATGATAATAATTGATTATTTTTAGCTAGTTGTTTTATAGCTGTTAGTTGTATTTTATGATCCAATACTCCAATAGTATTAATACATAAATGTATATCTTATAATATTATATTATCATCTTTCTTTATAATCAGTTAGTTTGTTTTATATAAAAAATATGTGATTATAATAATTTAATTATAATGTGCTTATATAAAAATATATATTTTTTATAAATATATAGAAATTTTTAAATTTTAAAATAAGGTATTATATATTGAAGATTATAATAAAATTTTAATTTATTTTATTATAAAATTTTAAAATGTTTTTAAAATGTTTTGTTTAGTTTTTTTTTTATAAATAGGTTAGAATTTAGAATTCGTGTTTATAATAAAAATATAAATGAATTTTAGTAGAGTTTCTATTTTAAAATTAAGGTTTTAGGTTTCAGCATCATTCCTGATAATTAAACAAAAATAAAGTAAAAATATTAATATTAATTTTAGCAAAAAATATAATTTTATGTGATGTTAATTAGTTTAATTTTTTATTTAAATATATTGTAAGTTAGAATCTGCATCATATTTAAAATATAATATAAAATTAATTATAAAAAACAATAAACTACTTTTTTTTAATTTGATATATAGTATTGTATATTTGTTTTAAAACTTGCAAAGTGAGAATTACATTTAATAACTTTTATCAAATATAATAATTAAAGTGTATATATAGATTTTTAGCAAAGCTTATATTTTCAAATTGTAACTTTAAATTTTAATATTAGTTATGACAATAAATAAGTAATATCAAGTTTTGACTTTTTAAATTATTAAGCAAAGACTTTAGCTTTTAAAAAACATAAATAACTAAAATGTTTACTAGTTCAAACAGCAGGTTATCAAATAATACATCTTATTACAGATCTTAGTTTAATAAATTCAAACTCTTTAATTTAAGAATTTAAATAATTTTCTATTAAACTAATAAATAAAAACTTTAAATTAACTCTTAATATATATAGTAAAATTCTTATTTAGTAATAAATTAAGACTGTTTAATAAGTTTGTTTAAAGTCTGATTTTTTTAGTTCAAACTTTATAAGCAAAAATTTTAATTTGAAGTTGATTCTTAAATCAAGTTTATGCAATAATAGTATGTAGTAATACATAATCTAATAACAATAATTATATTAATATTTATGTTTAAATTTTTTTTTAAATATTAAGATAAGTACTCATAACCTAAAATTTTATTAATAGTATATTTAGCTAATAGCTGCATTACAACTAAAAATGGTAACTATAAAAAGAGTATATAACTAATTATTTATATAACTTTAGTTATTGTTTAATTTAAGTAGTTCATTTAAAAGTTTTACACTAGCTGCTATATTTGAAATCTGCTTATAAGTTTCTTATTTAAATACTCTAGTTCTTATATCTTTTTTTTTTTAATGTTAAGACAAATAATTGTGACCTAGAAGTTTATTGATAATTAGTTGGCATATAATTATTATATACAACAGCTACAGAGGCAATTATGAAAAGAGTATACAACTAGTCACTCATACAACTTTAATCATTGTCTATTTTAAGTAGTCTGTCTGAAGGTTTATACTAGTTGCTATATCTAGAACCCACCTGTAGATTCTTTATTTAAACATTCTAGTTCTTATATCTACTTTTACTTTATCAACTGCAGTGTTAATCTGCAAATATATCATAGTTACTAAGTTATATTTAACTTTATACTAAGCCCATTAGAGCTTTCTGTATTCTATACTTATAGCTAACTCAGTACTATTTTGGTTTAAACCATCACTTGCAGTTAGAGCTAACTATTAAACTGCTATACTTTTGTAAAATTTATTAGGATTCTAATAGCTTTCTTTTCTAACTTCTATCCTCTACTTTTGAATTTACAAGACCTACAAGACTTTACAAACTACCAATTCAGATAGCCTAGTATGGTATCCTAAGATTCTTTTTCTTTAGTAGTTCTTAGTAATCTGGTTAGTATATATTTCTCTATATATATTGTTGTTCGATCTATACTAGTTATTCCAGTAATTCTTTTTTGAAGCTTTCTGATGGTTCAGTAGTACTGTTAAAAGTTTATGCTACCTTTTTACTCAGAATTTCTAAGTGGGTTTCTGTGCTTAGTTTTTTAGTGTTATACACCTAGTGGTCTTATTATAGGTTTGTATTAAAGTCTTATATAATACTGATTATTGACATTTCTCTATGTATATGTAATGTTACATTTTGTATAGATGATTTGAGCTTCTATTTAAGATGATGTTTTTAAGATTACAGATCATCTTTTCTGTTTAACTGATCGACAAAACACAGTTACTATAATACAGGTTTAATTTTCAAATTTCACTATTTATAGGATTTGAACACTAGACCTGTCACTTGAAAGTTGATAACCTGTCTACTTCACTAGGTCATTACATTTCTAGTTCTTAAATTTACTTATTTATTTATACTTATTAATAACCTAGTTAATACTAATTAAAATATATTATGATTACTAAGTTTTTAAAATAGTTTATTCATATTGTAATAAAATTTACTAAAAACTATCAAGCTGTAGCAAATTTTAAAGTGATGAGTGTCAAATGGAAGATCTTTTTATTTAAAGGAAAATAAAGTAAAAGAAAAGTAGAAATATAAAAATAAATAAAATAATAACTAATTAAAAATAACTAAAAATAAAGAATAAATATTTAAAAATAGAATTTAAATTCAATAGCCTTCTAGATACTATAAGGAGCTTTATGATAGGCCAGTTGTAGGAAAGATTTGACCTATT